TTTTTTTGGAATTATATTTATCAAGAAACTATTAGAAGTTACAGAAACCATAATCCTATGTGTATGTACACCAAAACATCGAGGTTTATTTGTCTTAGCCTTAGCTACAGTAGTTGCATCATCCTGCACTAACTTGAACAGTCGAACCCCCACCCAAGAACTACAATCATACTACTGATTCAAAACTCATTAAGGTACTCCGACAGCAGAATAAGCTTCCTTGAGTACCTCTAGCTTTTGCATATAAAGTTAGTACAAAATATAAAATACTATAAATTCTTTTTGTTATTCCCTCAAAATATAGTGGTACTGGTAGCACATACTGTACTTTCATGTCATTATAAAATCAGTCCCCAGGGTCAAATTAAGATAATTTGATATTTGTAAAATGCACAGCTTCGTGCCACCTACAGAAAATTATAAATTTTCAAGACTTTTCAAAATAGTATCATGAAATACAAACTGCAGGCTTATTCAAAACATCATAAAATATGCAACAAATAGAGCATGTTAAACAGTAGATCAAAATACCATTTTGCTCACGATTTAAATGAAACGAAAGTTTCACTTATTACTTATTACTTTGCACAACAAGGCTTTAGAGGGCTTTACATACTTGTGGCTAAAATATAATACATTGTACCACAGTTAAACCCAACAATTTTTGTAGAAAATTTGCTCGAGTGTGTGAAGTTATAAACTGAGAAATATTTTACCTGTAGTTGCGGCTTGAAATGTGGTCTTTGCGGATGTATTTCGACGTTTTCTGTCTTTTGAGGACGAGAATATAATGTGTATGACTTGCACACATTTGAACTAGTGGTCAAAGGTCCAAAAAATATGAAAAAATCAAAAACTACGAGAATATACTGCAAAGACTTCAACAAGCTAAAATATTTTAATAAGAACCAGGGGGTGTGAAAGTCGTAGCGGGCTCAAAATTGAGCCTGGTCAGTGGTAATTACCATGAGCCGGAGGAACCATATGGCGTCATTCTGGCGTCAGCAATGGCCGAAATCCGCCATGTTTTTGGCGACACTTTTTGATGCCGAGCAGGTCCTCCAGTAATATAGTATAGCTCAGTGGAGTTAACCTTCCAGTTATTATTAGAGTTCACTGGTGGTAAATCGCCTGAAAATAGTGGACGCGGAGCTCGAAATCCGCCATGTTTTTGCGGACACTTTTTTGTTTGACGAGATCACTGAGGACGAGATATGGGAGCACGATCTCCAGATATATATAGTAGAGCTCAGTGGTGTATGGGTGGTCATCTCACTGATCTCAAAATATGGCTATTTGCCAGGAGTGAAGAACGGGAAAATTTAAAATATATATGTAAGAAAGCTTGGAAAATCGTTTCACATAACAAATTGTAAAACTTTTCTTCAATTTTTAAAGGTAAACATTAACTAAGAATTGATTTTAGTATGATAAATTTTAAAATTTAATAAACCTAGCAAGTTTGTTCAATTGTTTATGTATGCATGACTTTGTATTATTAACATAGATTTTGTTCTTGTTGTTCAAGTCTTTCCTATACATTGTATGCGAAAGTTTCTTAGTTCAATTAACTTTTGTAGAAGTTCATGACAAAAAGGAAAGCATATTATTTTCATTAGCGTCCTGTACGAATTAAATTTATTTCATTTCAAAGTGCGAGTAATAAGTTGAAGAGATTAATATCGGCAAAAAGCCGTTAAAATTCAATTCACATTTAAAAACATTTGTATACGTAGTTTCGAAATTTACATTAAAATAATGCCCATAGAAACCAAAATAATATACCTACTTTATATATTTTGGAAACTGATAGTTCTGTATTTAAAAGTGTTCAATTTCATCTACATTTTGCAGGTTTGTACAAAAAAAATTTAAAAAATTATTGTGTTGCCATGACTATTAAATATGAGTATGACTTGGCAATGCGAGCCTGCGTTCAGTGTTGGCGTATTTACGAATACTTCATGTTAAAACAATGTTTGGAGAAAATAGGCGAGGGGTTGTTGCATGCATGTATCTCTAGTACATATAAAGATTTCATTGTCATAGTTTGTAGTTTACTCTTGCTTTATGCACATATTCTTATACGAACTGAGTGTCTGTTGTATTGACGAATTCAGAAATTGGTTGTGATTCTTTTCAACCAAGGTAATCACTCCTTTCTTTTAGATTCAGTTCAAGACTAATATAGATATTCATCTTTACAAAATATAAATATAACACAATGTGTATTCGTTTTGGGAAATTAAATACTTAAAAATACCAACGTTTGACACTACTATAGCTTCAGGTAAGGTAGGTAGGTAGGTAGGTAGGTAGGTAGGTAGGTAGGTAGGTAGGTAGGTAGGTAGGTAGGTAGGTAGGTAGGTAGGTAGGTAGGTAGGTAGGTAGGTAGGTAGGTAGGTAGGTAGGTAGGTAGGTAGGTAAAACTTTATTTTACTACGCTAACCCGGTCCACAGCAAAGGCTGATTTCCATTTATCAACCAATACTAAAATAGTTTAGCAAATAATACTGAAATCTGAATTTAGCAAACAACACTGACCATAGCCTAGTGATACTTAGTGATGGTACATTTTGCACATTTCAAAGGACTATATAACTTTGCTTGCATGCATGTGGATTGTTTTCAATCTAAACTCTTACACTTTGCTAATTAAATATAGCAGTCTCTGTCAAAAATTCTTTATTCGCCTGGTCAAATGTATAAGATATACCATGATTGTGGGAACTGATTTTCAATTAATGTGGAGGTATGTTAATTAATGTGAAGGTATGTTAATGATAATGCGCCACCTCATTCTATGCTATATAATGATGATGCACCATCTAAATTAATGTATAAAATATGCAGACTCCGCAAATGTTTTCTACATGTTTTCTACTTTATCCTCCCATGAAGTGCATGGGAAATACGATGTGTTGTTCAAAAACGAAGAAATTTGTGCCCATCTTGGCATGTAAATTCCCTTACATTGCGCATCCGTCACATGCATGTATGATATATCTATTACTAGGGGTCACTATTGCAAGGAAAGTCACTGTTTTGGACCCACAGGCAAACACTAAAATGACAAATATATCTGAAAACTAAGTGCAAAATTTTACTTTAGTATTACATGACTTTCCGATGAGACAATAACAACACATTATTTGAATTTGAATTTAATGAATTCGCCAATGAATATTTACATTTTCAATGACAGGTGAAGGACACAGAACCATTAGTCCCAATTGAAATCCTACACCGAAAGCATTCATTACTAGTTTTACTACCTATAATAAATTACTACCTAAATTACTACCTTTACTATCTTAGTTACAAATATAACAAATAGATCAGTAACCCATACTGGTAATGTATACTCCAGTTCATATTTCTTACTATAAAAATCGTGCAGCTTCCGCTTAAAGGAAGTTAATGTTAATGTTTCAATAGATTTTAATGGTCTAGGCAATTTATTCCATAAAGAAATTACCGGGTTAAAAAACGAATATTTCAAATATTCCTGTTTAATTATCTTAACATGAAAATTGTTTATATCGAAATTTCTAGTCCTGTGGCCATGATCAACAACTCTTGTACAGTACTTGCAATAATCCAGATCAACGACGCCGGTTTGAAACTTAAAGAACAGGATTAGGTCTGCCATTTCTCTCCTATATTCAAGGGGCATAATGCCTAGATTGGAAAGCCTTTCCTTGTAGTTCATGTTTTCTGGATATCCTAAGATAAACTTAGTAGCCCGTCTTTGAACATATTCCAGCAACATTTTATTTTTGATTGTATAAGGTGACCAGACTTGACTTGCATATTCCAGAGATGGTCTCACAATGGAACAGTAAAGCAACTTCCTTACTTCTACGTCTCTATGTTCCTTAAACACACGACGAATTAAGCCCAGTTTACGATTAGCTTTTAACGATATCTCTTCTATGTGCTTATTCCAGGATGTGTTAGTAACTCTTAGCCCAAGGTCAGATACCGGGTGGCCCAAAAAAAAGTACTCCTGTTTGATTTATAATAACTTCTAAACAAGTAAAGCTATCAAACAGAAATAACTTGCATTAAATAGAGGAAGGACTAACTTAGATTTTGATATGTTACAGTTGTATTTTACTTAAAAATTCACGGAGATATTAATGTTCAAAATCGGGAGCACATTTTGGGATGTGTCTAAAATTAGCGAAAATCGGCGTATCAAATTTTCACTACAGCGTTTGTTTGCTTAATGACATATCAGGGTAAATTGTATTTCAGCGAATTGTCGTTAGGGTTTGTAAGGGATATGGCGTAGATTTAGACATTTTACATGTAAGTCTTAACTTATTGTTTCCTGAAATATGAACGTTCGAAATTATGTAAGTATTTAATAGGTCTTTGCAAACTTAAGGTACTGAAAGACCATGCAAGGCAGGCGCTTCAATTTTTCTTAAAATAACCTATTTTTATGTTTTTCATGGGTTCAAAACAAAGTTGATTATTTCTCGGTTAGAGCAGGATTAATAGATATAATAATACTTTGTTTCATAATAAACAATTTGTCAAGTGTCATTTATTTACTGGTAATAGTGCATGTTTCAGTCGGGCAAATCTTGATTAATATTTGATACGCCGATTTTTGCATATTTCAGACACATCCAGAAATATCCTCCCGAATTTAAAGATTAATATCTCCGTGAATTTTTAAGTGAAATACAACTGTAATATATCAAAGTCTAAGTTAGTCCTTCCTCTATTTGATGCAAGTTATTTCTCTTTAAAAGCTATACCTGTTTAGATGTTATTACGAATCAAACAGGAGTACTTTTTTTTGGGCCACCCGGTATATGATCAACACATTGCAATACAACAGATTCAAGTTCGTATGAGCGTTCAACTTTATTAACTTTCCTCGATATATTTAAGACCTTGCATTTAGAATCATTAAAATTCATCATCCAATCGCTACTCCAATGACTCAGTTCTAATATATCATCTTGCAAGTTGTTATGATCCACCTCGTCTTTTATAATTCTGAAAAGTTTAGAGTCATCTGCAAACATGGCAATTGGAGAGTGATGGACTGTGTACTTAGGTAAGTCGTTTATATAAGTCAAAAATAACATGGGATCTAGAATAGATCCTTGCGGTACCCCTGATGATACATCAAGCCATTCTGAATGGATACCATCAACTACAACTCGGCTTTGCTGTCTGCCATGCAAGTACGATGCAAACCAATCGATGAGTTTGCCTACCATTCCAAACAGTTTAAGTTTATGGATTAAATATGCATGCGACACTTTGTCAAAAGCTTTGCCTAAATCTAAAAAGATAACATCTACCTCCTGACTTTTAGATAACAATTCAAGTATCTCTTGATAAACAACAAGAAGTTGAGTTGTAGTCGATCAACCTGGCGGTCTAAAGCCATGTTGTAGAAGGTGATACTGGGCAGATAGGAATGGAAAGCAGTGATTGAAAACACATTTTTCGAAGACTTTAGACAGGATACAGAGAAGTGGTATAGGACGGTAATTGTTCGCTAATGTTGAATCGTCGTTTTTTATGAAGAGGGGTTAGATTTGCCATTTTCCACTGTTGGGGAAACTCGCCATCGAACAGTGACTGATTGAATAACTTGGCTAAAGCTGGACTGATTTCTACGGCTACTTCTTTAAGTATTCTCCCAGGTAAGTTGTCTGGGCCACAGGCTTTGTTAGGTTCTATATTCGTGTGAACTTTATACACTTCAGAAATAGACAATTCAAATCCAGATAGGCTATGTGGAGATCTCTGTGTGCTTTCCTGCTGTAAAGAAGTTGCAGGATCTTCGGAAAAAAACTGACTGAAAGAAGCTATTGAACATATCCGCTTTTTACTTTGGGTCGGAAATAAATGACTGACGCGACCATCTCTTAAAAAATTTGGACAAGTTGACTTTTTGGTCACAGATTTCACATATTTCCAGAAACGTTTGGGGTTTTCATGCAGATGTGATTTCAACTTGGATGCATGTTCACGTTTCTTTCGACTTAATACAGCTTTTAATTCCCTGCGCAGATCTCTAAACTTATCCCAGTCATTTGATCTTTTCTAAGCTGTTTATCCTTTTTGTGAATAATAATACGTAATTCAGCATCAATCCAAGGATGATCACTAGTTTTTCGATAACTTGATCAACTGCTTGTAGAAACAAATGGCTATCCAATTGCTCAGAACACCGCGGAAAAACGTCTGCGCATGCGTCAACCTTACCTGTAATAGTATTGCGAACTTGATGAGAAGCTGTTCCGAACGTTTCCGAAGGCTCAAAATGGCGGTAAAAAGGAGTGACTTCATTGTGCGTCTTTACAGCCAGATTTCGAGCGCAAAAATAAACATGTCATTCTAAAAACTAGGAATAAATACAGCCAGAAGATTCAAGAAATTGTATTGTACAAGAACATAACTAAAGGTGATTGTTGACTAATTTATCGTGTAAAACATTTTGTTTATCAACTAAGCAACGACAATTTCCGAATTTTCGTTTGAGATACATTTCTTTAAAAAAAACTGTGTCGCCAAATATAAAAAATTTTCGTGTTCACAATAATTAAACTTCAGGATTTATTCTACAATTTGAGTGGGTTAAGAAGCTTAACTTTTCAAGAGTTTTCTTAACTTTTGAGTTTGAATTTTTGTTTTGAATAATTTTGCAAATATTTTCGAAGTCGTGTCCGTTAAAATCAACAAATTTTTACATGAATTATATTTCATTCCATACTTTAAATGCCAGGACGCTTTCAATTAATGTCTAGTCTACCCATTTGCTATATTTTCTCGTTTATTTTACTAATTTTTGACCTATTAATAAGCATGTTTTTGTTTTAGAAATTGATATTCAAATTCCCCGCCATATTTTCATAATTCGGGCATGCGCAGACGTTTTTCCGCGGTGTTATTGCTCAGGATTTCATCGATATTTCCCTTTACAAAGCAGGTGTCCCATGGGATAATTTCTAATATTATACCTCACAATGAGCTTGTCCAATCAGAGAACTAAATTTGTACCACATGACCATTTTTCAGCGAATACTATGACCTAGGCAATTTGAACCCTGGGTGTTTTACCCGGGGCCATGGTATTCGACTTCGAATACCACGCTTGAGCGGGAAATTCGACTTTTTTAAATGTAAAGTTATCAAAAGTTGTGTTTTGAAATTAAAAGTTAATTGAATGGTATTTGTTTTCTACTTATTTTTGAAAGGTTCGGTATAATATACCATTTATAGACCTTTCACTCGGGGTATTCCACAAAAAATTACCCTGCGGGATGAAATATTCCTCGGGCTTCGCCCTCGGAATATTTCATCCCTCAGGGTAATTTTTTGTGGAATACCCCTCGTTTCAGGTCTATAACTGATAAGTGTTTCTTTGAAGCCACGCCAGTCTGCATTTTTAAAATTATATAAAATGCGCTTGGTCGGTTTCTTTTGTTTAGGGATTTTTAAATTAATTTCAAATTCAATAAGTTTATGGTCAGTAGCTATAATGCTATCAAAAGCAGCTGTATTATTGATTTTGTGCGGAATAGTTGTCAACATTAAGTCCAAAATATTGCTACCTCGTGTTGGAAAATCAATCAGCTGCCAGAGAAAATTATCCTTAATCAATTTCGCAAACTGATAAGTATGAATGTTATCGCTTACAGTTGGTGATAGTGATGTCCAATCCATATGTGGCAAGTTAAAGTCTCCGAGAACAATTATACTATCAAAGGAGTTTTTTCGTGCATCTTTTAAAAATGCCTTGAATTGCTTTAGGTAATTAACATCGGAACTTGGTGGTCTGTAGAAAACGGCCATTAAAAGCTTTCCTCTTGCTTTGGGTCTTAATTTACAAGCCAAAATTTCGGCATTTGATTCAAGGTCATGCCTTCTTACGCAAGGAATATTTGATCTAACAGCGAACATAACCCCACCACCACGCTAATTGTCTGCTCTGTCCCTCCAATAAACAACAAAGTCAATACTCGGTAATATTTCACTGTCCAGTATATCAGACTTAAGCCATGTTTCGGTCACTCCAATTGCATCGTAATCATATGTTAGGGTATTAATTAATGGCAACATCTCCAGCTAAGGGACCGTTCATTTTTTATCAGGAGGAGGGGGCTGGTGGTTTTTGCAGGGGGGCCACCAGAAAAAATAGTGATGTGAAAGGGGGGTCACCTCCGGAAAATTAAATTTTGAGGGGGGCACCAAAACATCAATGAATACATAATATATAAAAATCAAAGCAATAAACTTTCGTACTCTTTCACTTTAAAAACTCAAAGTTGGCAAAGTAAAGTTTTAGCACATGCATGCAGTCAATTTAAACTACAATGTAACAATTAGGAATTTTACATATTTGTGGTATTCAGTGCATTTTAAAACGCAATTTATTTCTTAGGAAAAAACTTCATTTTCATGGCTGTTTACTAAAAGTTACTGACATCGAGTATTACAGTCAAACCGGATGTTCTGTTCCCATGAGTTTTGCAACAATGAATCAATCTTGCAGTGAACTCTGTCTTTTATCTGGAACGATAACATGCAGGACAAACATGAACCAACGCCATTTCATGCATGCTAACGCCACTGAGCATGCTGACACACTGATTCGTGATAGACCATGGTGTGATGGCATATAAAGGGGCTGAAACTGACATACTATGTAGCATAGAGAGCTGCAATCTAGTGAACTCAATCTATTTACCTGGAACGCGATAACATTCACTCATTTGGCAGTTGAAAAGTGAACCCTTGCATGAGCAATGTGCGTGTGAACAGTGGCGTCAGCTCTCCACGCCAAATAGTACATAAGTTTCAGTCCCTTTATATGCCATCATCGTGTGGTCCATCGCTACGCCATATAGTATGTCAGTTTCAGTCACCTTATATACCATCACCGCGTGGTCTATTACAAATCAGCGTGCATCAAGTGGCGTTGGCTTCATGTTTCTCTCCCTGCATGTTATCGTTCCAGATAAAAGACATGTAGAGGGCTGATGCCACTGCTCACGCGAGGCACAGAGTAAGTACATACAGAGGTCTCACTTCAGGTTAACGTAAGGAATTTTGAAAAATGCGCCATGTTCTTAGGCAGTCCAGTAAAGAGAAGCCGCCTTTTACGTATACTGTGCATGTGCAGGCACTGGCTAAGAACATGGCGGCCAAAAAACCACCTTCCTTACGGTTTTGTCACTGAAGTAAGCCTCTGTATGTTACTCTGTGCACGAAGCTTCACTTTTTAACTACCAAATGACTGAGTGTTATCATTCTAGATAAAGTAAAATAAATTGAATTCACTGGAAAATTGCTCCGAGCAAATTGCAATCGAAACACACAAGTTGCAACTGTCATTTTCTCAAGTTCCTATCACACCTGTGTTGAGTCAAGACACTGAATAAAAAAATCAAAATGACTCAGTAATATTTATAAGTAATAGCATGGCATTCAGGGCGATTAGTGATTAAATGTACCCGAAAGCCGAGAGAGGTTTAGTAAAAGTCCCGAGGCACGTAGCGCCAAGGGACTTTTACTAAACCTCTCGAGGCTTGAGGGACATTTCATCACTAATCGACCGTATTCACCGTAATGCCATGCTATTACGTTGTAATACCATAGTTGCCGAGGGAATCCGCGCGTGGTGTGTTGCCTGTTTTGAATGCTGTTTGATTGTCTTATGATTGTGGTACGAACACTTTTCACGCGCAGAAACACATCTCCGTGTCCATTGGCGTTTTAGGCATGCGCATAAACGGAATTTTCTCCCACAATTGCACTGTTCAAGATTAGGGAATAAAAGCTGGCAAAGTGATTGTTCGAATGTGTACGGAACGGTGTCGTCATATACTGTCCATAGTTGTGCCGATGATTTTCGATGAGGTACAGCTCTACAATCAGAGGTAATGAGGTGGTACGCTTTTGTCTTCTAAATTTCCCTCATCGAGCATGCAGAGGAAAATTAGTTCTAATTTTACTCCATGTTTTAGTAATGAGGTAAATTAGTGATTAATCGTACCTCGCGAGACAAAGGATTTCGAGGCAACTATGGTATTACTATGTAAAATTCCTATTAAATGCCATGGTCTCTAATATTATTTTTGCAACATTTCGGGCAGTTACAATTACTAAAATAATTGTAGGCATTATTGTATTTATTAATTGTTAGCCTAAAACGTTGCAAAAGTAACATTTATAGAAAACCTTTCCGAGGTCATGCAT